AAAGCAGTGCTCAGAACTGGACACAGTATTCCAGGTGTGGTCTGACCAAGGCAGAATAGAGTGGGACTATTACTTCCCTTGATTGGGACACTAGACTTCTGTTAATGCAGCCTAGAATAGCATTAGCTTTTTGGCTGCTGCATCACACTGTGGACTCATGTTAAGCTTGTGGTCTACTAAGACCCCTAGATCCTTTTCTGTACTAGATGTCCCCCCATCTTACATTGCTGCAATTGGTTCTTCCTGCAAAAATTTAGAACCTTAAATTTTTCCCTATTGAAGTTCATTCTGTTAGTTTGGGCCCAGTTCTCCAATCTGTTAAGGTCATCTTGAATCCTGATTCTGTCTTCTGTGGCATTAGCTACCCCTCCCAGCTTGGTTAAATCTGCAGATTTGATGAGTCTTAACAATATCCAGAGATGCCCAGGTTGGCTACCCCTGCTCTAGAGAAGTACAATTTGCCTCTGGATAACCCCATGTCAATGTCATTCTTGTCTTTGTGAAAACTGTGATCCACATCTAGATACTAAAAATAAATTTCAGTGTAGTAAGGATGTGGATTTGTACTCTTTATTTTTTTATCTGTATAATCAAAAGTTTCTCTCTTTTCCTGTTCAGCTTCACAATGGCCCAACAGTAATAACGGTCCATCACAGATCGTGTTGCTACAATGCACTCGGTGCATGACACCAATGCTTCCTAGCAGGAGATATTTGTTTCTATCAGAAGATAATGGTTCCCTGCATAGGCAAGACAACACACATTGCTTATACTGTTTACCTTATACTTTGCAAACTGAGCATCTACTGAGTTTACGAGAGAAAACTACTGGACTATTTGTCTCTGTGCTAATATAATGTGAAACATGCAAACATCCAGCAGAAACATACCCAAGGAAATTTGGAGGCTCATTTACATTGTTATGGAATACAGACAATTTGGGTTTCACAGGCTGCCAATTCAAAGCTAGTCTTGAATCAACAGTCCTTGATTACTTGGCCAGAGAATTCTGGAGGCAGTGTGCACTTAGACATTGCCTTAGCTCAGTCAGAATCACAAGTTACTGCTTACTTGCACTGGATTTTAGCTCTGCACACTTCTGCGTCCCTGAGGTCTTAATACAGACAAATCAGAAAATAACAGATAGAGATGGCATACATAAGTTCAAGGAATAATTTCAATCCTTAAAACGCTCTTCAGTCCTGCGGATTTTTCATATAGGTTAATTGTATGTAACTTTGGGTAGATAATGCCCAGCATTTAATTTTTTTCTCTTTTCTTCTGCTTCTAAAAAAAACCAACCTCACTTATCTGGAGGATATCAGCCTTTACTGAAATTTATGGAGGTGTGTTGATAAAACTGTAAGTGTATACCTTCTTTCCAATGAATAGATTGTGGCAGCTAACTATCCATTGGGTTATTCAATTGTGGTTTTAATACGACTATGGGGCATTTAGATGCCCAGGTCTACTCAGTGACTGCCAGTGGGTGCCAGGGCACAGAGAGGGCTAAGAAAAGGACACCTGAGTATGTCACAATTCCTTTGCATATTTTTGGCACAGCAGTATCTACCAGTAAAAACCCCAAATAAGAAGCAAACGGGGGGGGGGACTGCAAATATGAAAAATCAAAATCATATTTCTGTCAACAAACTTTCCAAAGCCTGAATTCTTCCTGTCACTGTGGCACACACCTTAGTTACGGTAGATCCCATTTGGATGATTTTAATGGACTCTACATGGGGGCTGCTTTTGAAAAGTGCTCAGAAACATCAACCAGCTCAAAGAGCTGCAGCCATATTATTGACGGGGTCTGGGTATAGGGAACATACGACTCCTTTTTTTACAACAGCTCCGCTGGCTACCGGTCTGTTTTCGGGCACAAATCAAAGTGCCGGTTATGACCTATAAAACCCCACGTGGTTTTTGGTCCAAGCTAAAACCTGGTGCTGTGCTGTCTTTATTGCAAATATTGGTATGGTTTTAATAGATTTTATATCTGTGTGGAGTTTTAATTCTATCCATGTTTGATTGTTTTTAATGGTGGTGTGGTTGTTGTTTTTTCTACAGTACGTTTTAGTGCTTCTTATTTTTATCTGTAAGCTGCCTCGATTTCTGTCAGGGGGGAAAGGCAGGGTATAAATAAATATGTATGCTCTCAGAAAGTGTTATAAGAATGTTCTCCATCAGTGCTGGCGTCAGCACCTGCCTTGCTTGGGCAGTAGCAGATGGGGTCCCAATGCCGCAGAAGGGTCCTTAAAAAAATCTGTCGCTGTGCCTTGAAAAGCAATAGGTGGTTGGATGTGGCCACCACCTTAATTTCCTACAATGCACCCAATATAGCATCACTCTGGGAAACTGGGAGGGATTGAAATAAAGTTGCACAGGAAAGCTTAGAGCACAGCTACTACTTAGTAGGAGGGCTCCTTCGAACTTGGAGCTGGCCCCGTTTTCCACCTCCGGCATATGGCTACCTTTGAGGTCGGATACAGTGTTCCCAGCATCAGAGACATTTACACCCACACTGTGCCACATAATCCCATAAATACCCTTTGTCAGGAACTTAAAAACCACCAGCGGTATGCCGTGGTACTATGCTTACTGTCAAAAAACGGTTATGTATATGAGGCTCAAGACTTGCAGAATATGTATTCATTAGCACTTTGGGCAGGTTCCTTATGTACTCCTGTTGTGAATGTCACCATCCTTCAATGATCACAAGAGTGATGGATGCATCAGGAAAATACAATGTTGGCTCAGATTTCAAAGCAGTTTGAGCTCCAATTGGCTTTCGGTTTCCCTAACCAGATTAGAGGAAGAAAGAGAGGCCGGTCACAGCAGATGCCCTGTCTCGGTTCATTACTCAACACCTGTTAAACTTGATTAACGGCCCCAGCTAATTATCTGTTAAGAGTATCTCATGCTGTGAAGGATCCCAGAGGTCTGAAAAGTTGACTTCATTTACATGTTTGTCTCCTTTCACAAGGTCTCTGTTAAACATCACCCAGCAAAACAAAGCAGAAATCTACGGAGCATTTTTCACAATTCCCATGGGGTTTATTCACAACTTCAGAACTATATAACCACACATACACACACATACGCCCCTCTAAAATATGTATTTGTTTTTGTTGTTGCTGTTGTTGTTACTGAGGGAAGCTATTTTCTTCATTTCCTTTGTGCCCTAAGATTCCTGGCAAGTTTACAGATGGAAAAAGTTTTCATTTGTTTCTTCTTCTTCTTCTTCTTCTTCTTCTTCTTCTTCTTCTGTTGAGAAAGTTGAGCCTCATGTATAGCGATTCTGGGGCTCTCGAATCTGTTTGCCTACATCTGCATGGGATTATCGTTTGAGATCTGGCAGTGAATGAAAGTAGTGGTTCAACAGCAGCTCATACCATCACAATATTTCCTATATTGTGGACACCAAAAACATCTGAAGGCAGCCCTGTTTAGGGAAGCTTTTAATATTTGGTGAATTATTATATTTCAATATTTTGCTGGAGTGGCTGGGGAAGCCCAGCAAGATGGGCAGGGTATAAATAATAAGTTGTTGTTGTTGTTGTTGTTGTTATACAGCAACTGACTGGCTGCACAAAATCACATGACAATATTTTCAGGAGTTATTGCCCGCCATAGATTCCTCAGAGTCACAGCCCCAGAAGTTCCTTCATGTCAAACATTGCTGTGAGGGTTTGCAGCATGAAAAGGGAACAAAAATACCTCTACGCGTCTTCAGACAGAATGCACTCTGACAGAGGACTCTCCAGAGAACATGAGCTACCACAATGCTGATGAAAAACCTGGAGCACAGTACAATTGTAAGTGCTAAAAAAAGGGACATCAGTAGTTTAAACCAAAAGAAAACCAAAGGTGTCTGCTTTAAAGGGAGCAACAGATGTTCACTTAAATCAGGTGTGGGGAACTTGTGGCCCTCCAGATGTTGCTGAACTGCAACACTCCTGTCAGCCTCAGCAAGCATGACCAATGGCTAAGGATCATGGGAGTCGCAGTTCAGCAACTTCTGGAGGAACAAAAGTTCCCCACTCATTCCTTAAATATTTTGACTTTTGGAAGAGGGGCTCACATATATATATATATATATATATATATATATATATATATATATATTTAAAATTGGCATTGTGTAAGCCTGGCACATCCTTAGTCAAAGCCCCATCCTCTGGTCCATCCTCTGGACTCTAGATCCAGGTCTAGAATAAGCAGTTGTCTCCAAATGCTCCTCTTAGTTTCATAAGGCTTGCCAAACTGTTCATCAGCTTTGCAAATAAGATTTTCTAAAGGCAGGGAAAAGAAGAAGAAGAAGAGTTTGGATTTGATATCCCACTTTATCACTACCCAAAGGAGTCTCAAAGCGGCTCACATTCTCCTTTCCCTTCCTCCCCCACAACAAACACTCTGTGAGGTGAGTGGGGCTGAGAGACTTCAAAGAAGTGTGACGAGCCCAAGGTCACCCAGCAGCTGTATGTGGAGGAGTGGAGATGCAAACCCGGTTCCCCAGATTACGAGTCCACTGCTCTTAACCACTACACCACACTGGCTCTCAGTGTGGTGTACTGGCTATCAGAACGCAAGAGTACTTCTAATGGAACAGAACAATTATCTGCAATGGGCTGTTAACAACTGGGGTGTCGTCTCAGAAGAAACCTCCTGGAGGAGGAAGCACTGTGAAACATAGTCAAAGTACATTCCTCTCCCCGTTATCTGGTTTATTTTCAAACCTGAGAAGTAGCAAAGACACAGTTCTGTTCTCAATGCAGAACAGACTGTTAAATTGAAGACCAGAGCTACCCACCTCCCCATATCTAGCTGGATGGCTTTGAAATTGAAGAAATTCATGGAGGATAAGGCTATATCAATGGTGTGGCGTTTGTCCGTTCGTTGGAAAATGTCTGTACAGGGGGAGAGAAAGAGTTAATAGGTACACCAATAGAAAAGCCAGAGGCGGAGCCTACTTGTTTATAGAAGGCCTTAACTCGAGATTTAGTTAGTTAGTTGGTTGGTTGGTTGGGAAATGGCAGTTGGGAAAGCAGTTGGCAGACAGATGGAAATAGAGAGACAGTGCAGTTGGTTCTTGTGTGAGGGGAGGTAGAAGAGTTAGAGACAGAATAAAATAAGACTAAGAGGGCAAAGGGTAACAGTGTTTTGAATGCATTCAAAGTTTATTTGTGTTTGCAATAAACTACAATCTTCATCTTAAAAAGTAGAGACATCACCTTGCCAACAAAGGTCCGTATAGTAAAAGCTGTGGTTTTCCCAGTAGTTATGTATGGAAGTGAAAGCTGGACCATAAAGAAGGCTGATCGCCGAAGAATTGATACTTTTGAATTATGGTGCTGGAGGAGACTCTTGAGAGTCCCATGGACTGCAAGAAGATCAAACCTCTCCATTCTTAAGGAAATCAGCCCTGAGTGCTCACTGGAAGGACAGATCCGGAAGCTGAGGCTCCAATACTTTGGCCACCTCATGAGAAGAGAAGACTCCCTGGAAAAGACCCTGATGCTGGGAAAGATGGAGGGCACAAGGAGAAGGGGGCGGCAGAGGACGAGATGGTTGGATAGTGTTCGTGAAGCTACCAGCATGAGTTTGACCAAACTGCGGGAGGCAGTGGAAGACAGAAGTGCCTGGCGTGCTCTGGTCCATGGGGTCACGAAGAGTCGGACACGACTAAACAACAACAACAATCTTCAATGTTAACTTAAGAACCTGACTGAGACTAAGTGATTTACCGGAGAGGACCTGGTTGGTGGCAGCGAATTAGTGGTGTACAGGTCAATAGTCCATGAGACAACCAGGGTCTCCGTATGAATGCCACAAATGGCTACTAGCCATAATGGCTATGCTCTGCCTCCACTGTCAGAGGCAGTCATGTTTCTGACTGCACAGGAGAAGAGGGTGCTCTCATGCTCGGGTCCTGCTGTTTTCCACAGGGTGGCCCCTGCGACAACAAGATGCTGGACTCAAAGGGCCATTGGCTCGATCCAGCAGGCTCCTCTTATGCCCTTAGTTTGCCTTCATCTCTGCCTTTTCTCTTCCAGCTGAGAGATCAAATTCAGTACACTTGAGGGGAGGGAGGGAGGAAAGAAACCCCGCTCAGTGTACTTGATACTGAGGCTATTACATAAATTAGATGGCAAGAATGTTCCCTGAAGGACTCAGTTCTCAGACCTTCAGGGAAAGCGGTAGGGAAGTGGGAGGGGATGAGGGAAGGAGTAGGTCTCACCTCTGCAATCTACTCAGACCTCTCCCTTCTTGTTGAAACAAGTTTGCATTTGAACTTAGGTCTCTTTCGCGGCAGGCTATTGCTTTTTAATGCACAGTTTTTCAGCGTTGTTTGATGTCTCTTAGTATCCACTACCTTATTTACTCCTGAGCCTGAAGCTAAACTCCTCAAGTAAAACACATCTAAGGACTTTTGAGATACGGGGGCAGGGGGAATTCAATATTCAGCAACATTACTTGGAGGCAAGAGAGGGAGGACTCATGTAAACACAGCTTGGTTTGCTCCTGGATTTTGCTTATACCAAAATGTCTGGGAAATTTTGAGGGGGGAGAAGCACTCCAAGAGTTTCAATAGGACCAGTGAATTTTTTTGGGGAGGTACCACACATTCCCATAAATTTCTCCACCATGTAGAGTCAAACCAGACATAATGCTAATCGCACCATTAGCCCTTGCTCATTAAATAATAATATTTTTTGAATAAATGGCAGTGGGAGAGGGAAGAGAGCATGGGGAGTCAATCACAATTATTGTGGAGAATCTTATGATGATTCCTTTGGCCGTAATCTGTCTGGAGGAGTAGATCTGTGATGGGCAGGACCAGAGCTACACTCCACTCTTTCTTTCCCAATATTGTTATCATTCCACATTCTCCCACTCACTCATACTCCATCCACACGCACTTGCACACAAATTTGGATACACTCAGGCACCCCAATCATTCATCAGCCATCCATCCGTTCGTTTTCCAAACACACACAAACACCAGTCACCCACTCATACATACAAGCTTGCACCCTATTCATCTATTTGTTCTCTGTTTCACACATGCATCCTCCCACACACACCATCCATCCATTCACACCCAAAAGCCCCTTTTGCCTCTTGATTTTTGGAGACCAAAAGACAGGCTCTGAGCGGTCTGCTGCCGCTACCACTGCAAAGTAAAGAGACCAGAGGATCCCCATCCCACAGTCAGAAAGTGTTTAGCCTCCTTCCTTTGTTTGGAAACCTTTCTCTCTCCATTGGTTAGAAACCAGGTGGCACCCAAAAGTCCTAACTGTAGCCTTCTCAACCATATTTGCAGTGGAAGTGGGTTAAGAGAGCAAGCATACATACAAAAACTAGGCCCCCTTTTCTGCCACCTTGTTTTTCTTTTGATAATGCAGAAGCACCTTCTAAGGACTGGAATAGGGTTGTTTTTTTTGCTTGTGGTACCACATTTGATTATCACACAGCACTGGGGGGTGGGGGTGGGGATTCTTCTGGAATGACTATCCAGAACTGGTACACCAAACTTTGAGACATGGCAATAATGGAGAAACAAACGTGTAACCTTAAGGCACTCAAAAGACCAAGAGACCCAAAGGCAAGAGATTTGGTTTTCAACCTCTTGGAGTGATTCTCCCACCCCTTTTGTTAATTGGGGAGATGGTGAGAAGCAAGTCCCAGTCAGGTATGTACATAGATATGGGACTCATAAGCAGTTCATTCAGATTCGTAACAGCTGGGAGATACAGTTAGAGAAATTACAGGATAAAAGCTGAAGTGCATGAAAGGAGGGCTGAGCAAGTGAAGGTTGGAATGTGAAAGTTGTGTTTGTAAGAGAACCTTGAGAAAAGCAGGAGGGAAAGGTAAGGTAAGGAAAAGGCTATGCTTCGTGATTAAACCAGTAACAGCTGGTAAAGGGAGGCATTGCCATATATGGATATAACTACCCTTTTGCTTCATCTTTGCTTGAAAAGTGTCTAAATACTGCTGTTTGAAAGACTTGGTGTGGGTCACTCCCTCACTTGGGGTCTTGGGTCTCACTACACTGCAATGCTTTTGAAAAAGATGTCCTGTCTGGCTGACAATTCTTGTTTAGGTTCTGTTGGCCATTCCAGGCCCCGATATTTCTCTGACAATTTGGTGTCAGAAGTAGCGAGAAGCTACTTTTTAAGGATAGTCCTGAAGATGGCCTAAATGTCAGAGAAAAGGGGGGGGCAATTTAAAACTACAACTACTCTTCCGCACTCAGGATTTGATGTTATCAACCATTGCGATACATGGATCTTCCATTTAGATGTGTGTATGCTGGATATGTTATTTTGGGAGTATTGCTTGTTTCTTATGATAAAAGTTCTTCTTAAAAAAAAAAACCAAATTCAAAAGGTTGCCAAAAAACAACCCGCAATACACAGAGTCAAAGAGGAAGCCACAATGAGGCAAAGGAGGCGGTGAGTTGAGCAGCACAAGCACTAGAAAGGGAGCCGTGGCTGAGGAGGAAGGGGCAGCACTGACCCCAGGGAAGCCAGATGCAGCCTGGCTGGTGTGCCTCCACTTGTTGGACTACAACTTTCATCAAGCCTGAGCATTAGCCATGCTGGTTGGGCTGATCTCCAACAATATTTCCCCACCCCTGGTTTAAACCATCCCTATCTGGATGCCTCCTGCATCACTGTTGCTACTTGTTTTATTTATTTTTCTATTGTGTGCTTAAAAAAATGCATTGGAATTTGTACATTGACTAGGGAGGATATGTATCAAGAAAGGCAGGATAGAAATATATTTGTTGTTGTTGTTGTTGTTGTTGTTGTTGTTGTTGTTGCTGCTGCCATTGTCGTCATCACCACCACCACACCTCTAGTCTCTAAACTCCAATGTAATTAAAAAACACACACATGGCTACCAAACTGCAAGTAAACCAACTACAGTGGTACCTCGGGATGCGAACAGGATCCATTCCGGAGCCCCGTTCGCATCCCGAACAGAACGTAAGATGCGACAGCGCGTCTGCGCGTGAGCGGGTCGCGTTTCGCCACTTCTGCACATGCGCGTGACGTCATTTTGACCGTCTGCACATGCGCAAGCGGCGAAACCTGGAAGTAACGCGCTCCGTTACTTCCAGGTCGCCGCAAAGCACAACCCGAAAGCACTCAACCTAAAGCGTATTTATCCCAAGGTATGACGGTACACTGCTTTAATGGTTATTTGCTTATCAACCCTAAATCAATGCTTTGAACGGAAGGATCTACCATGGAATTTCCATTATTCAAACTCCAACCGGCAGACTTTCATCGATTGCCCATTTTCACCCTATATGCTTCATCTCTGTCACTATACGGAATCCTCACTTTTGTTTATCCAAACTTCCAATTACCTGGATATTTTAGAGCTTTCCTGTTTGGAATTGCAAGGTCACATCCAATTTTATCTTCTCAAATAAGTCTTCCTTGTTCTCTCTTAACCTGAACTAATGGTACCCTATGGACATTGCACTGTGGAATAAACGCACCTCTTGGTTCAGAGCTGAAACCTGAGGGGGAGAAAAACAACTTATTGCTGTAATTGAGCTTCAAGTAATTCCAATACAAACAAATTTTCAGGGTGGTTTTGGTTTTTGGCTGCTGGAAGATTAGCTGCTTATCTATCCCTGCATGATAGATAACAGCTCCTCTCTCTATTGTAGGCTAAGCATCCAGTACCATAGGGCAGGAAACCACCAAGAGACACCATTTACAAAACAAAGATAAACCATCATTGTTGCATTTATTTATTTCTTTGCCCACAGTCAATCCTGATCTACCTATCTGCGCTGAAAGTGAACATGTGTTTCTCTACTCCAGCAGAGGAAGATTTCAGGGTGTGGACAAGGCATCAGGGTAGGGGATTTCTGAGGTATGTGTGACAAAGGTGGGAAAGGTTAACCCCTTCCCACCCACAATGTGGCCATAGGAAGACAGGAATTCCCTGCTGGGTTTTTTTTAAGAGGTACAACTAGTACTAGCATGCTGTTTAATACCCTATACTTATGTAGTATATCCCTGAAACTCTGGACTCACGTCAATGGATTTACCTTCTAAAATACGTTTAATTTATCTTAACTAGGGATGGGGAGAAATTTGATTCTGTTTGCATTTAAAAGCAAACTTACCTAATTTGCACTGTTCAAAACAGTACATGAACTGGAACACAGCCGTACCTTGAAATCTGCAATTTTCTGAATTTTTCAGTGCCCTTCGCCAGTCAAGCAATGCATACAAAATTGCACACACCAGAGTAAAAGGCATTAAAATGCATATATTCATGAAAATAACACACAAAAATGAACTGAGGAAATTGCTTAGCAAAAAAGTGTACATTAAGCAAAATTGCACAAAGAATGTGCGTATTAGGAGAAATTTGCACAAAATGCTGGTGATTTTTCATAGCAGAGAGATCCAAGATGACACTGGGCAAATGTGATGTCACGAAAGAACTCTTAACTCTTAAAGCTGGAGTTTTGCTAATAGTTTGAAAGAGAATGGCATGACACTAATATGAGGACAAACTGCTGAGGTGGGTAGAGGAAGCATTATCCTTCATATGAAAGATTTTTTTCCAAACTAAAAACTCTTCTTCACTACAGTGCCATAAATTATACAAAGTCCGTCCTATTTTCCATCATGATAATGTCTGTTACTGGAGAACTATCAGAGGTAGAAAACGCTGAAAGAATTAAAGTCTCTAGAAGCTGCCAGACCTAACAGAGAGCAGTAAAAGAACTGCATTACTTTAAAAGTTGGGATCGGAATTTGTTTCCCCGTTAGGTCAGCAAGTCTCCGCATACTGCACATATGCTGTAAATTTTATGAAGTGTATTAACTAAGTTTATTAATATTTGAAAATTACTCACAAAATCAATTGCAGAAACAGAGCTGAAATATTCACTACCATGTTCCAGCCCTAGCAGAACTTCAAACTGTCTTCTGCTGCATAAATAAAAGAGGCAAAACATACAGAGTTTTCATTTCAAAGCATTGCCAGCCTTTACAGAATCCCATAATAGTATTTCCTCCCTCCCCCTCCCTCTCTCTTGGAATTACCACATGGTTTAATGTGCTTTAAGATTTTTTGACTGATGGTCCTTTAGCAAATTTCTGTGCTTTTGCTGAGGGGCAATTAATTGTCATTTGCATGATTTCATCAGCAATCTAAAAGCTACAAAGGCAGAGTCTAGCAACGATACAAATACGAGCATAATTCCTTCCTGGTTGGCTAAAACTATTCTGTTTTCAGGTGGACAGGACACAAATGAGGACATGGAGTGGGAATCTCCCAGAAACTGCAAGATAAAACGAAGGAACAAAAAGAAGAGCGAGCGACCTAACAGCCAAGTGAGGCAAAAGGTGTATTTTGTCCAGCCTTCTCTTTCCAAGCCTCTGGGAACATCACAAACTGTTGCATGAAAGAAAAGGCAAGCAGGAAAAAGGACTGCGCAAGAAGGAATTGTTTTAAAATACTGGGAAATACAGTAAAGTTCAGTACAGTGGTACCTCGGGTTAAGTACTTAATTCGTTCCGGAGGCCGTACTTAACCTAAAACTGTTCTTAACCTGAAGCACCACTTTAGCTAATGGGGCCTCCTGCTGCTGCTGTGCCACCGAAGCACAATTTCTGTTCTCATCCTGAAGCAAAGTTCTTAAGCTGAAGCACTATTTCTGGGCTAGCAGAGTCTGTAACCTGAAGCATATGTAACCTGAAGCGTATGTAACCCGAGGTACCACTGTATCTGGAGGAACTTCACGGCAGCAATTTCAGACAAGCAACATGATAAGCAGTAATGTGGAAGGGTTAAGATTGCCCTCACTTTGAAATGACCATAACTTGAATGGGCTGCATGGCATTGTGGTGTCATCGTGTTCACTGAAGAATCCTTGATTGGCTCAGAGTGATGGCAATATAGCTCAGGAAGCAGTTATGTAACCAAACCCGAACAGCTATGTGGGCAGGTCCGTTTCCAAGATGAAGAAGACCAAAGATGAAGGGCCATAAAGCTGTAGTGGACTGGGGAATGGATGGTCAGCAAGTAGACAGCAAACACACTTTACATACATGTTGTAGTTCCAGTGGGTACCCCACTCCCCACAAAGCTAAAATTTGCACTAGGCAAGAGAGGGAAAGGAATGAGATTACTCTATATCTTAGATTAAAATCTGAGCCAGAGTTTCATTCATTGGGTCAGAGATAAATTAAATGTCTCTGAAAACTCTCTAATCCAGAGATCAACTTTGTTTTCCGCTAGAAATAAATTTTTCAACAGCAAACTTGTGGCTGAAAGGTCAGAGTCCACTTTCAGATTTTAGAATTAATATTGTGAGAGCGTAGAATTCTTCTTTAGATATTAAACTCGTGGACTCTAGTCTGTTGAAACACATGCCATAATAAAATGTGCTGGTCTTCACAGTGCTATAAGACTCTTGTTGAAAAAGCAGGCATGATCTCTGGCCAAGTATTGGGATCCGCCAGGGAGGCTGGGGAATATAAATGGAGATCTAGTGCTGCTAGGTTGCCTGCCTCAGTAAGATGCTTACTTTAATTTCCTGATATATATTTTTCAAACCAAGCCAATCTGCTTTATTGCATCTTCAGTCAGTTCAATTAACAAATAAACAAAATATTATGCTTCTGATACTGCATCAAGTGTGTATTGTGGCTGCACACTTCATTAATTGGAAACCGACATATGGCAATTTTTAGGTCACTGTTGCACCACTGAAAACAGACACATCCATCAATGCCAACATCTCTCATGTGCTGAGCAGCACCCACTGCTTTTAGCAAAAGGGTTAACATTATTATAAAAGGCAGATAAAATGGAATACTGTACTGACACGTTTCTAATGAAACGTTGTTGTTACTGTTACTGTTATTTCATTTATGAATTGCTTCCAACAAAGCATCTTAAAGCAATTTCACAATGCAAAAAACTACGGCATCCCTCTGGCCTTATTTTGCGCTGACAAGGGTGAACTTTGATGATGGGAAACAAAGAGGAACGGTGCTTTGCACACAAAATGAGCCCTGTGCAAAGAATTGTCTAGCTTAACAACACAGGTATAAACTTGCACGTGTCACTAAATCTTCTCTCTGTAGGATGCAAGAAGGTGCTTTCCCTCACAAGTCCGTACACCCAAACGCCTCTCCTCTTCAACAACTGGGGGTGTCAGGGCAGGTCATGACACACAGGCAAGCAAGGGAAGAGGAAGCTTTCAGTCTGTGATGGAGAGCTGGCACAACTGTCTTCCCAAGCCCCACCCTCTCTCTTCCCCGACCAGCTGATCACCCAGCCATCCTTACTTGTAAGCAGACTTTCTTGTGCAAAGTTACTGCCTGCAAAGTTACTGAGCCAGATGGACCAATCGCCTAACTCAATACAAGGCAGATCTTAAGTTTCTATGTTTGGAGATGGCAGCAGTAGAACTCAGCAGCTGTCATTCTTTACCTCAAAAGCCCTCTTGAAAGACCCTGTTTATGGCACTGTGTCATAGGACGGACATCAATGGAAGGGCTTTGCCCCAGAGTTTATGGCTCATGGTTTGTCTGGGAGAAGGAAACCATGAACCGGGGTTCAAAAGACACTCTTATGCCAAATGATGGCTTAGCTCAGCGATGTGCCAGAACAACTAGGGAGGAGCAAAGTGGCCATGATCCCAGAGCCGGTGTGCTACTGTGTTCACACCAAACTATGGTTTGGCTTAGCATGATGTGCAGACCAGGTCCTTGTCTGTTGTTTTAAGTTTTAGTCTATAATATAACTATGACTTTCAAACCCAGTGGTTAGAATCACAGCTGCCACCTCTGGGGGGGCCCTGGGTGCCTCAGCACCCACAAAATTTCCGCTGTGGGTGCCTAAGCATGTCTACAGCCGCAGCAAGCCCCAAGAGAGGCCCTGAGGTGGAGGCAGAGGCCCTGGCCCAGTTGCTGCTGCCGCAGCGCCAGAAAGCCAGCAGAGGCAAGGCAGTGGGTGGCAGAGGCAGGCAGAGACCAAGCAATGTGTGTGTGTGTGTGTGTGTGTGTGTGTGTATGCACACAATGTAGCATCATGACGTCATGTTGCGCGTGTGCCGCTGGGCACCCACAATTGAGGGCCCAAGTTGGCACCACTGGTTAGACTGAAAGCCTCCTTTCTCGGGACAGCACAAAGCTAAGGGTTTTGCAACAGACCATCTTTTTACGCAGACTTTTATTTGTGTAGAAAATCCTCTCTTTCCCTGCTCCCCTTTAATTTTGTGCAAGTGAGCTGGGTAGCTGAAAAGAGTTGGAAGGGCTGCCTTCCTGTTTGTTCCCTGCTCTGGCACCTTTCCGTTCTGCGCTCCCTGAGTAGCACCATTCTAAAGGCTAATAGCCCTGGAGGAGGCCAGGGAAGCCTAGAAGAAAAGGCCAATCGTGGCGCAGTTTAAAAGGTTAAAAGTTGCTCCCTGAAGGGAGAGAAGGGGACGTGAGTGAGGGATGAGAGAAAGACAGCTGCAAAGGCTAAGAGCTGTACACCAAAGGGCGAGATGCTTGTCTTTTGTTGCTCAAACTGCTCGCCTCAGGGAGGGGTTCGGCCTTTTTGTTGTGGTTCTCCTCCGTCCTGCAATTACCCTGCAAATCCCTGGCTCTGGCAAGAAAATGGGAATCTTGAAATTAATCATAATAATAGCAATGGTAATAACTCTTCGGAACTATTTTTTTACTTTTAAGGAAGGCCAAAGCACAACAGTAGCACAGCCGTACCTTTGTGGATGTAAAAGTAGAGGTGGGTGTGTTCATGAATGTGCATGGTAACCGCTTCTCAGTTTCTTTTGTACCAACAGCAGATGCACACAAAATAACAAGGCCTGCAATTTTAAGCAGACCCTCCAAGTGTCCCTATTTTCCAGGGACATTCCTGGATTTGGAGAAGCCATTCTGGTTTCTGATTTTATCCCGGAATGTCCCACTTTTCCCTATTTCCATTGGAGAAATGTCAGAGGGAATGGAATAGGACATCCCTATTTTCATCGGAGAAATGTTGGAGGGTATGTTTTAAGCTAGGCACTGAATTCCTGTGCGCCATCCAGTACCCTCTGGTTCACAACTACTTATCTTTGTTGCCTCCAGCAGTAAAGAGCCAAGTGCTTCCTTTTGTTTAATCTAAAGTGAGCTAATTCTTTAGCATCAAAGGTGGCCTCTGTGTTGACCTTACCTGGGCACCAGGATAAGATATTTCTGCTTTTGTAAAAGCTCCGTCCAGGCCGGCTGCTCACGCTGCTCTGAATCAACACCTTAGAAGTAACCCCAGGAGCCAGCTGATTTAACACAGTGGGTGAAAGGCAGTTTTCCACAAGCCAGTGGGAGCAGGCAGATGGACTAAGAGCGCCACACAGAATATGAAATGTTATTTGAAAAGTGATTGGCAATGGAGAAAGGTAGCCGGCTGCTATTTACTCAGTAGCTACCTGCCGAAAAGAAAATAAAAAAAGGGGGGGTTCTGAACTTAATATGCCAGTATCCTCCTTTGAGAAACCAAAGTCGTTTTCAATGTACAGAATTTATAAATGACACTGCAGTCCTGAGTATCCCATTGGTAGAGATGCCCCTGACTCGGGAGCACGTCAAACACAAGGAAATTCCCTGCACAGAAGTAATATAAATAGGAAATCTGAATGATGTGTAGTTTGTGATATTTAAGCAAAGTATGTGCATCTGTTTAACAAGTGAGAGCTGGACCATAAAGAAGGCTGATCACAGAAGAATTGATGCTTTTGAATTATGGTGCTGGAGGAGACTCTTGAGAGTCCCATGGACTGCAAGAAGATCAAACCTATCCATGCTTAAGGAAATCAGCCCTGAGTGCTCACTGGAAGGACAGATCCTGAAGCTGAGGCTCCAATACTTTGGCCATCTCATGAGAAGAGAAGACTTCCTGGAAAAGACCCTGATGTTGGGAAAGATGGGGGGCATAAGGAGAAGGGAATGACAGAGGACGAGATGGTTGGACAGTGTTCTCAAAGCTACGAACATGAGTTTGACCAAGCTGCAGGAGGCAGTGGAAGACAGGAGTGCCTGGCGTGCTCTGGTCCATGGGGTCACGAAGAGTCGGACACAACTAATTGACTAAACAATAATAAGGAATGGGGACAGAGAAGAAAATTGCTTCAGTTTGCATTTAAAGATGGACGTATCTAATTTACACTTCCTGGGGGGGGGGGGGGACAGCTGGAATAGATGGAACACTACCATCCTTTGAAATTTGCACGTCTCTGAATTTTGCAATGCAGTTCTCCAGCATATACTAGGGGAAGGTATGTGTAAATTCAAAATAAATAAATAAATAAATAAAAATGGCCGTTTCTGAATCTCTAAGGTCTATTGAAGACTTTTAAAAAATTCCAATGAACATTTTATTCTGAGTATATCATTTTTACAAATTTCTACTTTCTTCGTACAGACGTCTCCCTACTTACACAGGGGTTACATTCCCAGGTACCACACATATATGTAAAATTGCATATAGTGGGCATTGAATTAGGCCTTGTTAGCTGGTTGAGTCAGAAGCCTGCACATAGGCTGCAACTGAGATGGAAGCACAGAATATGTTAGGGTTGCCATGTTTCAAAAGTGAAAAACCAGGACACACCGAAAATTGTTTATCTTGCCTAAGATCCAGGACAAAGCACTGCCTTTCAGAAATTCCCCCGGGGTGTGAATTCTGCCTTTGAAATCCCGGTAATGTCCGGGAAAATCCAGGCATATGGCAGCCCTAGAATATGTATGCTGCCCTCAGTGTAGCAGACAATCGGTAGGCCAATCTGCATTAGGTGTCTTCGGCAAAGATTGAGATGTGAACTTGTACACACACACTTGAAAATTGGAACTGGATAATTCTCAGCACAATTCTACATCGCTGCAGGCAGTGCAAGAAAGATGGTCCTGCTCCTGCTGAAGAAGCTGGAAAACAATTGTAATCATGAGAAGAAAGCTGAAATTCAGTGAAATTGAAAAGGCGGCGCTGCAGAAGATGACATAAACCTAGAATGAAAAAGGACAGGCAAGCAGAATGGAGAACTACAAATGGAAATGGGGAAATCGTGGTCATAAGCCACAATAAAAATGAGCTGTTAGCCATCAACAATGCTCAGCTGCAGTGTAGATCCCTGGTTCAGATGCCATTTTCTTATTCGTAGATGGTCTATGCTGTTTGTTTGCTTTAATTTGTATCACTTTTAAAAAAATTGTCTCTGTTCATTTTTACAACATAGCAGGTTTCCAACGGCAGTTTATCTGACACAGACTGCAGAAAG